TATATATATATATATATATATATATATATATATATATATATATTTTTAGTATTGGTGTGCAGCACAGCTCTTACAAAGTCCTAGGTTCAGTCCCCAGAACTATAGAAAAGAGCTCAGAACTTGAAACAAACAAACAAACAAACCCAGTTCTTGTTTGTCAGGGGAATGAGCAAATACAAAAGATGCATGAAAAGAATTTATTCCCTCTGAGATCTCCTCCTGACATAACCACCACCGATAGCCTGCACAGCATTTTCCAGCTTGTTTCACTTTCTTTTGAGATCTGCCCATACATGCATATTATATCAAGTGTGTTCATCATCTGTACACTGTTTCACAATCTTTCTTTGCTTGTAAAATACAAGTAGGTTTTACTGAAGTTGGTAAACACACACCTTGCATAATCATTAATGGTGCCAAAACTTACAAATTTAACATAATGCATTAAGAAATCCTTCATTTAGGCCTCACCATCCAGGGGGAGCAGAAAGGATATGTGATAGGTAGGGTTTTAGTTGGGGGGATGGTAGGGAGAAGGGGAGGGAGAGGGAACTGGGATTGTCATGTAAAACAATCTTGTTTCTAATTCAAATTAAAAAATCTGCAAAAAAAAAAAGAGAGAGAGAGAGAGAAAGAAATCCTTCATTTAGGCTGTTTGATATTGATGGTATTTATGGTCTTTTAATGTTTAAGAAAACCTAGTAAACAACCAAAAGTGTCAACACCTGTATTTCTCAACTTACTTCACTAGGGCAAAGTTTGAAAAGATAGGTTAAAATAGTTAAAAGAGATTATTTTTAAAGATTGCTGGTGTCCTTTGCCAGTTGCCCAGTGCGAGCTTTACTCTCCAGCCAACTGCCTATAAAGGTGTTTACTTGCTCTGACTTTCAACTGTGTTGAGTGCTGTCTTTATTACGTTTCACACTGTTTTCTGTTGATTTACACATCTTAGCACTAGGGAGACAAACTACATTTTTGAGTATTCTGAATCTTCAATATGAAAGAAGTAAAATGAATAAGCCTTGGTAAGTGGCAAGACATCAGATGGAAGGAAGCAGAACACAGATTCCATGTGCTGGGGTGAGTAGGTCTCTGGTAACTGGCATCTCAAAGAAACAGTTAAAGGGCAGGGTGTGGTGGCTCATGACTGTAATTCTAACACTCTGGAGACTGAGTTAGGATTACTCTCAGGTCCTGGTCAGCCTGGGATATAGTTTAAGACTTTGTTTTAAAAATCAAAGGGGGTCAACAGAGGAAGGAAGGAGGGAAGGAAGAAAGGAAGGAAGGAAGGGAGGATGGAAGAGAATAAGTATCAGCTATGGGATTCAGGCAATGAAACTCTGGGCAAGGGGAGTTTGAGGCACTCGAAGGAACATGGTGGGGATGTTCAGTGAAGGGTTTCACACCCAGGGGCTGGGCAGTCAGTCAGCAGTGAACTGGGGACTGGAGGCAGGTCTGTAAATCAGCATACTGTCTTTGAAGAGCATGCAGAGGGGCCCGAGTGGAGGAGCAGTGGGCCCACAGAGTAGAAAGACTAGGAAATTAGCCTTCAAAGGCAAATGTCAGCCATTACAGTTAGCAGGATTAATTCTCTACCCTGAAGTATAAATGGTAGTGAAAGTGCATTCTTTGACTTAATTATTTTTTACAATGGTAGATAGATTAAAGTATAAAAATAAAATAGAAGATGTTGATGCTTTAAATGTGGCTCAATTTCCTAAATGTCATTTTACTGACTTCAGTACTAAGCACCAAAAGTGAGGATACGTGGGTGAAGAAACACAGCGTCCCTCAACAGCCTGGCTCTAGCTTGAGTCCACTCAATCTTACTCAATAGCTTTTTTGGCATTTATCATGTAATAAATTACCAAAGCAGCTAAGGAAAACTTACAAAGTACTTTGAGTAGGTAGCAATCTTTAGGAGAATATAAAGTAGATGATACATCCATAAGGACATACTAAGAAGCAAAATCTAATAAATGAGGAACTAGATAAACCCAGGAAATTGCTCTTACAGTGCACCCAAAACATAGGGTCCTGGAATTACATGTCTCCTTAGGAACTTTTCTTCCTTAAAAAAGAAAACAGCACACACCTTTAAACCCATTACTAGGAAGGCAAAGGCAAATGGATCTCTATGAGCTACAGGGCAGGCTGGTCTGCATAGTGAGTTACAGGCCAGCCAAGACTACATAGTGAGACCCTGACTCAAAAACAAACAAAACCAAAAATGGAACAAAAACAGAACACTGGTGTACTGTATCAACTTGCTAGGCTGCCTTAGAAATTTACTATTATATCCCAGGATGACTTAACTCATAAATATATTTCTTCATAGTTCTGGGGACTAGAAACCTGAGAACAAAATGCAGGCAAGTCTAATCCCTTCCCAGGACTCCGTCCTTAGCTTTCTTCCCTGGCCAACTGTCTGTGCAGACCTGTGTCCCAAACTTCTCTTCTCATAGTGATATCTGTCATACCAGATCAGAACTCAACCACGTGTCTTCATTTAACCTGGCTCCTCTAAAGGTTTATGTCCAAATACAGCTATGTTCAGAAGCTCAAGGGATTTCAACATAAGAATTTGGGTGAGACATCGTTCAGTCCCATAACACGTGCTGTGAATTGAAAGAAAAATTCTAAAGAAATCAGTAACTACATAAACTCCACAGTTCCCATTAGGTGACTTCATGGGAGCCCTCAGAGTCTAAGGAGCTTGAGTGGGTCAGGCTTCTGTCAGAAAAGGCATGAAAGGGGCACGCATGTGCCCATCAACAGGGAAGACAAAGCTCACAGAAGCCCAGTGAGGTAGGTGGAAGAGAGGCCAGAAAGAAGCTATTCCTAGTCCATGTCTGATGGGTGGCACCTGCTATGCTATACCTGTAGTTGAGGGCTGCCAACATAAATGTGGCCTGTGCACTATGAGGCAGCCCTACCAGCTCACTTCCTTTCTGGTGCCTCCCTGGAATAAGCTTTTGGCTACTACAAAACAGAAGAACCTACATAATGCCTATGTAGCCTCCTCCACAGTCAGGGTGGGATCGGCAATAGAGGAATGATTAACATGGATTCTGTGGGCCCTCAGTGGAATGGAGGAGATCCTCCACAGGGCTGGAGCTCCTCCTGTGCCTTCAGATTTTGCCAGGAGCATTCCTAAAGGCCAAAACAGGAGCACCCAGGAAGCGGGTCAGCTCGGCTTTGTGCACCTGCTCAGAACAGTCAGGAAGATGCTTCCTTCTCAGTAATAAACACCAGAAGTAGAAAATCAGGTTTTTTTTTCCCCAGAAGCATGCATTAAGTTTTTGTGACTGCTATGTCAAAGTTGCACAAACACGGCAGCCGTGAAAACTTAATCTACACAGTCTGAAAGGCCCGAAGTTCCCAGTTCAGGTACCGGTGGGTCACTCACTGCCTTGCAAGGGCCTTTGGTCATGGAAAGAATAGAGAAAACAGAGTCTCACTGTAGTTATCAGATCTCAGCTAACACCAGTCTCCATGAAGAATTTAACTGAGAACCTGAATTGCTACCTTTTCCTCTGGTTTTAAAAAATAAACTTGGAGCATAAGCAGCCCAATGGGTTATTATCAAATCTAAATTAGACATTGACTCCATAGGTATTTTAAAATTAGATATTGACTCCACAGGTATTATAAAAAATTAAACATATAATTTAGGCTAAAGGAAACAGTCCTGGGTTTCATTTCTTTTCGGAACTTTCACCTATTTTTGTAACTTCAAAAAATTGTTTTTTATTCCCTGTGTAGAAAGGAAAAAAAAAAAAAAACAGTTACTATATGGAGACAGCCTTACTGTTTGCAGTTGAAAAGAAACTACTAGTCCAATTTAAGTATAGGAACTAGACAATACTTCAACTAATGGCAACTTCAAAGTTACTTTCAAAACAGAAATACGGCATGTCAGATTTATAGAAGAAAAATTATTCTACTCTTCTTAAATATGACAGAAATAGTATCTAAATGCAATGAATGTTAGAAATACTTTTAAAAATCCTTAAAGCCTAAAGGGCCACAAATAGGGAAAATTTAACTAAACACCTGGTAAGATTATGACTGGACTTAATTCTCACATGACTCACTGAAGAAAAAAATGGTAAATATTCTAAGGTCTAAATAACCTTAACCAGATAAAATCTTATCAAAAGTGGGGAGGGCGAATGCAGGAGGGCTGCTGTTTCCATCATCAAATTTATATATTATAATATATAATAAGCTTTAAACTAGAAGATGCCCTACCAGAAATAACCAGAACCAAACTACCATCACCCAACTGGGGAAAAGATAAGGTTGGTTGTTCTCGGCTCTAGTTATGTTGGCCTCTTGCAAAATGACAGGCAAAATCATACTTGTTTTTACAATTGTAGCCACATATGTTACACTGGAACGGGTTGTCATATCCGTGGCATCCCATGTGAATAGTGTAAAGGATGTTATCTGCAAAGTATGTGTCACAGTGCTGGCAGTGGTAAAGAAGCTGAGGGCCCCCCACTGGCAAGGCTGGGGCCGGAGTGCTTGGCTGGCTGTTTCCAAGGATGGAGGTGCTGGTGCGGCCGACTGGCTGGCTGCTGGGCCCTGCAAATGCACTGCAGTCCCTCTGATTGAATGACTGTAGAGGAGGCTCGAGGACTATGGGGGAGCTCGAAGTGAAACTCCCTTGGACAGAGGGCCGTTGGATCGTGTAAGGATTTTCTTCTAGGCTAGAGTCTAGGTCAGCTGATGTGGGATGTTGGTTTTCAGGTGACAAGCTGGACAGGTGTCCCACTAGAGGGGACATCTGGTTCAAAGGGTTGTCCACGAACAAGGGTTCTTGGGGGTCCCTCGGCAGTCCACACGCTGAGGTTTTATCCATACCATCATAGAAGTCACTCTGGACGTTTGGGATCTTGTGGGTGAGCTCACCCGGGCAGTCTGGCTTCTGAACGACCACGGGGGGCGGATCCAAGGAGAAGATCACCCCTTGTTTGCCATCCTGCGCGTTGCTTTTACTCTGCAGGTCCCTGCACATTCTCACACTGCCTAGGGAAGCCTTGGGCCCTGTCAGAGATGACAGATTATGCCTGCGCCTTTGATGGTGGGACAGGTTGCTTTTGTAGTTGCAGCGGTAGGCGCACCATTCGCATTTGTAGGGCTTCTCCCCGGTGTGGGAACGCAAGTGGGCTTCGATGTAGCGCTCGTAGGCGGAGGCAAAGGGTGTGGTTTCTGTTTTCCCCCCCCAGCCACTCTGTCCTCTGGCTGGCATAGCCGCAGTACGGGCACTGTAGCTTGCCCTCCAGTGTCCTTCCCAAGTCGTCCAGCATCAGCACCAAGTTCCCGTCCAGAGCATCCCTGGGGAGTCGGGGACTCCCTCGGGCCTGCCCGGCCAGGTCCCAGGCCAACGCGTTCACCTGGTGGGTCTGCTGGCTCAGGTACTCCTGGAAGTTCTTGAGGAAGTCCTGCGGCTCCACCCTCTTCTCCCCCATCCCTTCAGGCCTTCCAATGTCCCTGCTTCTCGGGCCCACTTCCGGGCCTACTTCCGGGCCCACATCCACCTGGCTTTCAGGAAGTCCTCTGCCCTTCCCGGACTCTCCGCACTGAGCCACTTCACCTTTTTTATATTTACTTATTTACTTATTTTACCACCCCTACAAGGACGAAGTCGGGAGCCTGGCAATCCTCCTGAGACACACAGCGAAACTCCAAAGGCCTCGCTCAAACTCCAAAGGCCTTCGCCCACCATGTTCGCAGCTTGGGTTTACCCAAGTCTCGAAAGAGTAAGAGTAGAGGCTGCAGAGACAAAAGCTGTCCAGGGGGAGGAGCCTTAAGGAAGGGGCGGGGTTAAAGGCCACGTGCTTTGCACGTGAAGCATGCACCTGTCACAAGCAAGACAGGTGCAGTCAGTGATGGTAGAGGGCTCCAAGGGAAACAGTTAAGGATGGGCAAAATATGTTTGGTGATAATTTGCTTTTATCTGTATTTGCACCCCAGAACATTTAGCCCTCTGTCCTTCCGCTGCTCCTGGCATCCCAGAGTCTGGATTCTTGGTTCGGAGCAACGTCTTGCCCATGATGGACCTCCGTAGGGCCGAGCCACCTGGTCACTGGTGCAGAGAGATGAAAGCAGGGATGGACCGTGCTACGCACAGACTTTGAACCACTCCTCTTACTGACCATGACTGCTGCCTTCTGCCATCCCCAGGGCTCTCTCACTGTCTCACTTTTTGGTAGAAATGTTTACACTTCTGAGTCCTCTCTCCCTTTCTCACTCAGCTAGCTCCCGTTTTGCTTACAGCCTCCAAAATGGCAGTGACTTTGTCTGATGTTAACCCTTCTATCATTCTTATTTTTGTGTTCATTGTTTACACCTTTTGTGGAAAATTACTTTCCATCATTTTCATGGGATTTGTTGAGGGTATGGAAACTGTCAATTGTGTGTGCCTTTTATGTTTAAATGGAAGGCCCTATAATGAGCTTTAGTTGTAGGAAAAAGTGGGGGAGAGATCTGAAAAGCAGTAATGATTAAAATTTACTCACTCTTTTATGAGAAAAAGTTTTGTTTTTAATCCAGTCATTAAGTTTTGCTAAATAAAAGTACTCAATCAAGACCATTCATGACCACATTCAGACTGCATCCACCCACATCCATACAGGAACTCAGAAACCAACTGAGGAACCCAGTGTAAAATAAAATGAGTTCTGATTCCCTGCATGAGTGCCCAGCATGATGTGTAGTCCGTGGGGCCCAGATGATAACTTTGTAGAGGCATAAACTGGCACGACAAATGCACGATGAATGCATTATTCCATCTCCAACCAACCACTGTGGAGTGGGGCGGCCTTTTCTGCATCAAACTTAAGCAATGGAGGTATCAGACACTTTAAAGCACACCAAAGTCTCTATTCGTCTAAACAAAATCATAAGCTTGAATTTCTACATCTCATCTGTTTTCTTCCAGGCTTCAGACAACTTGCAGGTGAGCCTAAAGCAGAGGTGCTCAGCCTTCCTAATGCTGCATAGTTGTAGTGACCCCAACCACAAAATTATTTAGTTGCTACTTCATAACTGTAACTTTGCTAATGTTATGAATTGTCATGTAAATATCTGATATGCAACCCCTGTGAAAGGATCATCCAGCCCCCAAAGGGGTCATAACCCACAGGTTGAGAACCACTGTCCTGAAGGACTATTCCCTAGCTTAGACCAGGCATTCATTGAATGAGAGGACCATCAGTTCTCAAAGACTGTGGTACACCTATTGCTGGTGGGATGATCTGGGTTTTCTTCCTTACCCCTGGTCCTCAACTTGCTGTATGCTGCTACAGTGCCATTACATCTCCTGAAGCAAAAAAGTGTGTGTGAGCCCCTGCGTGCTTCCCCAAAGACCAGCTTTGGTGGTTGTGGTAGTTTGAATAAAAATGGACCCCATAGGCCCACAAGGAGTGGCTCTCTTAGGAAGTGTGACCTTGTTGGAGTAGGTATGACCTTGCTAGAAGACATGTATCATTGGGGGTGGACTTTGAGGTTTGTTAATCGTTAAATGAAAATAAGGGCATGCTGTGAAAGAGGAGGTAAAAAAAAATATAAGAGCCAGAGAGGATGGAGGACACCAGGAAAAATAAGGCCCTCTGACTTGAATGAGCAACACTCATATGAGCCCACAGAGGCTGAGGTGGCATGCACAGGGCCTGCACAGGTGTGTCCCAAGTCCTCTGAGTATATATTATAAATTTTAGCTTAGTATGTTTATGGGACTCCTAAGTGTGTGAATGAGTGGGTCTCTGATTCTTGTATCTTCTTTTGGGTTTTGTTTTATTATATTTTATCTTGTCATGTTAGCTGTGACAAAGCACTCTGACCAAGGTAACTCACAAGAAGAAGGGTTTGTTTGGGCTTATGGTTCCAGTGGGTTGGAGTTCATGATGGTGATGTGTAGGCATAGCAATGGGAACAAGAGGCAGAGGGATACATCTTGGACCACAAGCACAAAGCAAGGAGAATAAACTAGAAATGGTGTGAGTCTTTTCCACCATTAGCAAGGCCTCGACTCCTAATCCTTCCTAAAACAGATCCACCAGCTGGGAACCTGGTGTTCAAATGCCCGAGACTAAAAGGGACTTATCCAAACCACCACATTCCACTCTCTGGCCCTCATGGGCTTGTGTTCATATCACAGTGTCGAATACATGGTTAAATTTCAAAGTCACCAGTCTTTGACAATCACAACACTGAGTTTCAATCCAAACTCATTTCTGAAACTCAGAGCAATCTCTTAATTATCACCCCCTGTGAAATCAAAAAAGCAAATTGCATACTTCCAGCAAGAAATGGCACAGAACATACGTATCATTCCAAAAGGGAGGAATGGGGGCATAATGAGGAAATACTGGACCAAAGCAAGACCAAAACCCAGCATGAAATACCAAATCCTACAGCTCTAAGTCAGATGTCTGCCCTCCCAGCTTTATTGACTGCAGCACACTTCTCTCATTTAGGCTAGTTCCTCAACAGACATCCCACAGCTCTCTGTGGCAGCACAGGTTTCACTTTCACAGTTTCATGAAATGGCCTCTCAGGACCTCTTGCTCTCTCAGGTCTTCACACAAGGACTCCCCTGTCATATATTTCCTGTCTTCTGGAGCTCTCTGAAGCCATGGAGAAAGATTCCATGACCCCTTATCTTTTATGATTCTAAACTGGCACCATGTGGACGAAACTGCCGAGTTCTGCTACCAACTTGGGATAGACCCTGGCTCCTTTGAATTATTGATCGAGTCAACATCAGCATCACCATCAGCTTCAGTATCACCATCAGCTTCAGCATCACTGTTAGCATCAGCATCAGCATCAGCATCAGCTTCAGCTTTGAATTGCAAGTGCTCCTTTCCGGTGTTGGAAGCTTCTCCAGGTGGGATCTTCCCCCAAGGTACCTTTCCTTTTATTCTTGTGTAGATCAGTGCTTTGTTTATGGGTGATAATCTCACAGTTACAGTCTCTCATCTAGTGCAGGCTTCCCTGTAATGCTTGCCAGTGTTCTTTTCTTTCATTAATATATATATATATATATACATATATATATATTAATTTCTTTCTGCCCTAGTTGTTCTTTTTCATTGTAGAAATGCATAAGGCTGATTACTAATAAGCATGCAATGACAGAGTTACTATTAGAATAATCTGTTATGCCAAAGAAATTAGCCCATTACTTTTAATTTTATAAGAAAAGGTTTATTTTATTCTATGGGTACGGGTGTTTTGCCTGTATGTATGTGTGTGTGTGTGTGTGTGTGTATGTATGTATGTATGTATGTATGTATGTATGTATGCATGTATGTATATGTGTGCACCTGTTGCCAGTGGAGGTCAGAGAAGGGTGCCAAGAACTAGAATTACGGTTCCCATGTAGGTGCTGGGAACTGACACCAGTTTTGGATCTCTGCGGGTACAAGTGCTTTTAAGTGCAGAGTCATCTCCCCAGTCCCTAGCACATTAATTTTAAACTTAGCTTCAGGTAAGATCTTGGGGCATGAGTGGAAAGCAGCCACAATCTTCATCAAAAATACCACAGAATGGGGCTCTAACCCAATGGCTAAATTGTTCCTCCCTTGAACTGAGTCTCCACAGTCCAAATTGTTCTAGCACTGTCTCCCAGGCTTCTACTAGGATGTTCTATTAGGCCCTGCTTTTCTAGTCCAGAGACCCAGCATCTTCCACACTCCCCTAAAAGCAGCACAGTGAGGTCTGTGATAGCAATAGTACCATTGCTGCTACCAGTTTCTATATCAGTTACTTTCTGTTGCTTCAATAAAATGCCACGACCAAGGCAACTTAAGGAAGGAAGGGTTTATTTGGGATGCAGTTGCAGAGGATTAGTCTATGATGGTGGAACAAAGAAATGGCAGCAGGAACAGAAAGCTGGGGGCTCATACCTTGAACCACAGGCAAGAAGCAGAGAGATGAACTGGGAATGGTGCAAGTCTTTAAGCTCTCAAGGTCCATCTCCAGTGATACACTTCTTCCAGCAAGACCACACCTTTTAAGACTTCCCATGCAAGACCATTAACTATGGACCAAGTGTTCCCATGCTGAAGACTATGGAGGACATCTTAGTCAAACTACCATAAGCCCTCAAACAGATTTTTTTTTTAATGCTCAACTTTACCCTCAGCAAGAAAATATACAACTAGGTTAAGACTTCAAATGTCTCACTCATCTATCTACTCAGGGGACTAATATCCAAGTTGGACAACCTGCTGCTCAGACTAGCTGCAGGAAAGGTGGCATGGTCTTGTGTAAGTTGGCCAAAGTGTGTGACAGTGTTCCAAAGTGAAGTTGTCAGTTTGCACATCCACAAGATCTGCTAGGCTACTTCAACTAAGACTGTCAACATGTCCTAGTTGTTCACAAGCACAGCACGGACTGCTTCGATAAAAGAAAACAAGAAAGATAGGCAGTCAATGTCGGGAGTTTTAGCAAACAAAACTGCAGGATTTCTAGCTAATTTGAATTTCAGATAAATAACACAATGTTTTAGTATAAATATGTCTTGTAGATTGTGTATACTCAATACAGTATTTGTGACATGATTACGCTAGAAATAAATGAATGTTGATCTGGAGTTGATGTTGAGTGTTCTATAGTTTACCTGTGAAATCTGTAAATGCCTAGACCTGCCAAGAAGCGTGGAATCATGTAGCTGAGCATTCCCATTCCATCCCGGCAGCTTGATTTAAGGAACCCCATCACTTAGCAACTGCACGCTACTATTGCTGCTGCTGCTGCTGCCTCTTCTTCTTCTTCTTCTTCTTCTTCTTCTTCTTCTTCTTCTTCTTCTTCTTCTTCTTCTTCTTC